TTATCAAAAGAGAAAAGCAAGAGATAGCATTTATGGACACAGACACTGCTAAAAGAAGTGGCAGAAAAAAAATTAAGTGACATCTTCAGTGCAAGAATACTCACAAGTCACAGAGAACTGATCCTCTGCCATGAACTACACTCAGCAAGGAAAGACCTGATCCCAAGACCTGATCCACTTTTCTAGCTCCCCTCACTCGTGTCTGTGCAATAACCAGCAGCCAGTGTTGTGGAAAAGGAGAGAGACTCCTCAATGATCCTTCCTAATAGATTCGTCTTTTATCATGTTTTCATGACCTTTGTAAAAGGCAATTTAAATTCTAATTGTCCTGTGAGCACCACAGGAATCAATTAGTGACAAGAGATGTTAATTGTGTAGCCAGGGAGGAGGCATTGCTAGGCTGCTCAGCTCCAACACGGGGTTAAGAGCCCAGGGGAATGCCGGGATGGCTGGGGCTTTAATCAGTCCTCCCTTTTTAATAGTTTGCATGTTGTGCTGCAGTTGTCAAGGTCCATTAGTCGTCTGCAGCACTGAATGAAGCAGTGGCATCCCCTCCATTCCTGCACTCTGCCAGCACATACAAGGGATCAGAATGAACTGCCGTTGCAAAAGCACATCCTAAAACCTCCTTTTCTTTATGTTCTCGCTGCAGACCCTGCATAGAAATCAGGCTATTGCAGTGTCTTAATGTCCTTGGGCTGTAGGGGAAGCAAACGTGCCCCTTGTCACCTCAGGAGGCAGCCAGAGCCTTTTGTGAAAAGTAAACACTCCCTTTTCATACCAGGACACATGGAACATCGCTCACGAAGCCGCTGGCACTGTTCACACTGCCACCTGAAACGCCAGACGGAGGTCATACTGAATGCCCAGTATCTATACTGCACACAGGCATAAATGGGGAACATTTATCTGAGCCAGAACCAGAGCACACAGCCTGAGAGACTATCCAACCCATCCTGGCACAGGTACATCTTGGGGAAAAAAGGACTTGGCACAAAGAATGAGATGCACCTTGGGATGCACCATTTGTTACCTATTTCCCATCAGGTGAAAACAGTCCTACATTACACCTGTGCCACAGCAGGCAGCTGTGCCCAGGAAAGTTATGCAACGACCCAGAATCCCCAGCATCTCTGTGTAGAGTATAACTTCATGCTAGGAAAGCTTGCACTCTGCAAGGTCATGTATCCAGGGGAGTTAAATTCCCTGGAAACAAACACCTCACCACTGCTTTCTATTGAACATTATCACAGACCATTATTACAACCTAAGTCTCTCCACATTACCCACTTAGTCAACTACCAACCTCAGATGCTGCCTTAGGGAAGTGCTCTGCCTGTCCCAGAGGAGTCTGTCTTTCGCTGTTACATGACATTCACGCTTCAAAATCCCACTTTCCAACTCCCCACTGCCAAAACTGAGGCCCTCACAAAGCCAGGAGAAAGGCACGCATCCTTCTCTGTAAACTAGTATCCAATCAGAGAGAAACTGCAGCACAAGAGCAAATCGAGGTTAGATTTTTATTTCAAATCCTTATTTGCATTCACTTGCATTCTCACAATTGCCCATTAGCTCTTGAAATGGATCATACCTAGGCACTTCATTTTACCCCAGATCCTATGCACAGAATGACAGGCTCAGTCCAACTACGGTCCTTCTAATCCTCTAGGTCTCTACCTTCAGCTCTCTGCACCTTCTGTTAAAGCTCTGGACACTTCTAGGCTCAAACCCCACAGCCAAGCTCTGGATTTCTGCTCCTGTCCCTGGCCATAGAGAAGGTCTTCCCCCCATTCCTCTCCATGGCACCGATCAGCCAGACTGCTGTTCAAACTAGGGCACAGATCCAGGCTGGGACAGCTACATCCTGACTGAACCACCATCTTCCCAGATGTCTGGTACTTTTTGGACAGTATCCAGCTTTGTGAGCCATGACTGCTTTTCTCGCTCACTGTTGATCATCTAAATAAATCACTGCCTTGAAGACAGCATACTCAAGCTTTCTTCTCTGCAAACCCAGGAGGGGTTGAAATCATCCCATACTAGTCACTTGTCATTGCTGCAATGTATCACAACAAACTCCAGTTCACCACCTGGCAATTAAAGCGTTCCAGGTAGCCCAGGCCCCTCGTCTACATGACCATCTGCACCTCCAGCCCAGTTCATCATTTCTCCCCCCTCAAAGGGGCACTCTAAAAAGAGTTCTCTCCATACACACTCAAGCAATTTCCAAGCAATGGTATCTTTCTGTTCGTACTGTCAAGGAATAGCTTTCACTCCTTCACATGCCATCATGACTGACCAAGGTAAAGGAGCTCTCACTCAAAAGGACTTCCTACTGGGTGCTTCAGCCTTCCACAACATGCCTCCCAAAGGCCCAGACAGCCCACTCCTACATAGGGGCCGACTTGGCAGACAAGTTAGAGGCTGAGTTATCTCTATTTCAGCAGAAAATCCTTGACACCTTTATAGAAGCACTTTGGTTAGGCAGGAAGAACCCACTCCACCAGCTCCACTTCTCCCCTGCCTGAAGCTGCTAAGACAACAAAGCTACCTTCTGTGCCTCAGACCTTCACCACTTGCTCTCTTGGAGCTGTTTATTCTCAGGTTTGAGATTCTTCCTGCCTGATAGATTAACCTCTTTTACAAAGTGTGCCCACTTGTACTGCTTCACTAAGATGTTTAATTACTTCTGACTTTGCCTGAAGCAGAGTAAACGCTCTTTCTCAGCAAATGCTTTTCTTGGGAATGCTCTCCCCATGGACACTGACTTTGTTTCTAATTTATTTTATCTGTGTCACATTCTCTAACAGCCTCTGAAATAGAAAGCAGGGACCACTTTATAAGCAGTGCCAAGCACTACTGGAATGTCCTGATTGACACCACTGTCACCTAGCCTAGCTAGGTTACTGCCACTTTTGCCAACTGAGCTTTAACCACCCAGCCCAGAAGAAGGGAAGAATGAAAATTTCAGGGCATTTTCTCCCTCATGGTGGCATCAGAATCTCATCAACAAACATGAAGGCAAGTGGAGCTGTGTCTTGTTCCTGTGATTTGGAACAGTCAAGCAACGTAGGTGAACTCCTGCATTTGCACTTGGGTCTGGTGGTGAAACCAGGACGCAGCAACTTCTCCCCTAAGGCTCTCAGAGCAAAACGTTACTCATGTTTCAGTTCATGGTTTCCAGAGATCCTACCAGGTGGTTGCAAACCTCGCATTCAAGAAGTTTCCTAAAGGCAGAAAGCCTCAAGCATGCTGTAAGAATGCTAGATGGAGGCCAGAAAGGTGGCTTAGGGGCCCAATGAGCCAGAGCAAACATGTTGTTTGGTCAGGTTTGAAACTCAAGCCAGAGGGCCAGCAAGAAGCCTAGCATTAGCATTTCACTAAAACTGCTGAGATACCTTCCCTCCACAAGGAACTTGGAGCTTCAGAATGGCACAGCAGGCTTCTGTGGCACAAATGGGAACACAGACTGGCAGGTGTGAAGCGCAGTCCCCATGTGAGGTTCCTACCATCCCTCGTCAGCCAGTCCTTTCCAGCTGCCGTATCCATTTGCCTGAGCAGTGGAACAAAGCCAACTTCATTGCCACCAACTTTACAAAACAGAATTAACATTTTCTCTACTCATGCTCTGCCCAGAGCTTCTACAAAGCCTTTTTTGCATTCCCATTAAAAATAATAATGCATTTTGTTCTGCTTCAGAAGGCCCATTGCTCATCTGCCCACATCTCTTTCAGACTCCACTAGTCTTCCTTTCTTTTACCAGTATAATCATTTTATGCCCTCATCTCTTTCTCCCTTTATTGAGAAGATTGTGGACACGTTTTATTGCTGAGATTTACAAAACAACTCAGTCAGCCTTTACACAGCAGACGCGATAAGGCTCCAGAAGAGAGAAGGAATGGCTGTGTTACTTGGCCTCCACATCACACACGTGGCTCAGCAGTCACGGCTCAGCAGTCTCAAGCCCAACTGGGAGGTTCATCACTTGAGCTTCAAGCTGCAGAGCCAAGCTCAGTTTGCTCTGGTGCACTGCACCAGTTCTTCTGCAGTGTTTGACATCCTCATAGAAAACTAGCATTAAGCAAGCCCAATCTTTTAAAACCAAACAGGAAGCAAATGTTCTACGTGGGATCATGACAGAATCAAGTAAAAATGGTTCACGTGTCAAGAGATTCCCTGGAGCATCATTCACCGTGGCAGTTCACTATGCCTAAGAACAGCTGAGAAGAGAACCTCCCTCTGGAGGTTTTTAATGCATTCTTCCGCTTTCTGAAAGGGATGACAAAGAAAAACTTGCTCATTCTTCCTTTTCCACTTTGTTCATTCACCAGCAGCTGTACTGTCTACTAATACAGTCAGCACTCTCCATGAACATTCAAGGAAAGGGAGCTTCAGTCAAACCTAAAGGCTCAGCATTCACAGCTGATCACTCCATGTGACCAGAAAGCCTCATGTGCAAGCTGCACTCATACAGGAGCTGAAATAAAGGAGGAGTTGTAAAGAGATGCCAGAAGAAACCTTCTCATAGCACAGCAAATTCCAACACTTCCATAAATCCAAGAAGTTAGCCTGCATATATTGTAACATCTCATGTACTATTGTAAGGTGCTGCTGTAATAGATATCATACACACTGGTGTTGTTAGGAGAAAGAAACAAGTCACATACATGTCTATATCATACTATCTAATTACTGGGCGTTACTCCTGACACACCTGATTTTGCCTATGCCATTTGCATTCACCGAGCATGCCTTAGGGATCCTGATTTTTCTAATCCTAAATGTAATCCTTAACCTCCATTTTAACACTCCCAAATTGTTGCCCTGAATGCCTCCTGTGATGCTGTTACTTATTCATGGTTATAGACAGCATTATTTCATCAGCCCATCTACCATTTACTCTCCTGATTCTCCCTATTCAGCAGCTGCTTTGCTTCTTTCCCTTTTCAGTTCACTTGGAAAAGCCTGTAATGGCTCCCCCACGGATCCTCTCTACCCACCTGTCTCAGTCCAAGCATGATGGGTGGAATCAGGTCTCTTGCTGAGAGCAGTGACTGGTGGTTATCATCAGCTGAACTGTGCTTGAGGCAGGTGCTAAAGCTTCACCAGCTTTTGATTTTTATCTCTTCTGCTCCTAACTAGAGAAAAGCTGTAAGAAAAAGAAAAAAATAGAAGCCCAAGCTCACACAGACTGTGCAGGCACCTTCAATAATATACCAGAACCTACATCTCGGCAACCAAACGTCTCTCTGACTACACACACTAGAAAGAGATAGTGAGAAACAGTCACCAGTTACAAGAATTGGGCTAAGGAGAGGGAGGGCAGTAAGACAGGAATTCCATTTGCCAAGTAGGAACTTAAACTGATTAGCTTCAAGTAGCCTGGAGTGAATGTTGACACCAATTTGACTTAAAAGCTGCTATTATTTTTCAAAGCCGTTTTCTCCAGCTGCCAGAAAATATAACTACATTCAAAGCTACAAGGAAACCTATCAGCTTTCGAGCAGCTGAGCTGCAGCCAGGTTGCCATGATGCATCTGTCAATGACTGCTTCAGAACTACGTCCTCAGAGCACGAAGCACAACCACTTGCCCTCCCAGCATCAAGTCTTGCACACCCATCCCAATACCAGCCACGTCCATCAGCAGCACAGGCTTTGCTTGCGCCCGTCTGGCACTGAGGACATTACTTACTGAGCACAACCAGTCACCAAACCCAGCAGCAGAAATGTGTCCTGCACTGGATCGTTGTAGAGTACATGACAACCAGCCATGCCTGTGCTAAGTCCATTTAGCCCCAAGGCTGCCATCACTGAGCCTCCTGCTGAAAAACAACAGGAGAATTTGGATATCTGAGCACTAACTTGGACCATTTCCATCCTGAGGCATGAATTGAACCAGCTACAAAGCACCCAGTGGAACAGGCCCAAGCATGTGAGAAAGCCATGTGTCCAGGCTGATCCTACTGGACCAAGCACTCACTGCTGTTATACTTCCCAGCTCTCACCGGCAGCAGGGAGAAGGTTACATTAATTTGACCATGACAGATGGTTTAGGATTTGAGGTACTGCATTTCTGAAAGGCTGTTTCTGACAGTCAGCTTGCATTAGAGAGGAGTTGAGACAAAACCCATGATGCACAGATGCTATTTGCTGACCACATCATCGTGTTTTCCTTTAACAAAGAGTAACTGGAGTTTCAGCATACAAGGAAAAAGGAATCAAAGGAAGTGCAACAGCCGCCATTTCAAGTCTCCATGAGCTGCATGAGAGCTCTCCAAGGCAAACATGAGTCTCTGCAGTCTAATACAAATAATAGAGCTCCAGAGCTGAGGGACACATTGGACTTGCATCCACTCTGGACTGAAAAAGGAGGCAGAGCATAAGGCCCAGACCAGTGTGCTACAAGAAGGCTTCCTGACAGAGGCAGCTCAGTGGCTGTCTCCTCTGCATTACGCTGTAGTGAAGCAAAGAAAACAGCAGCAGCCTTCTAGCTAAGCTAAGGAAGGGAAGTTAATGTCTTTCAGCAAGGAGGAGATGGCTCCATCAAAGCATGCATGGGAGGGAGTCTTAGAACTGGAGAAAGACCAGAGCCTGGCAATGCAGACATTTCTAAAGCAGCCTTTCCAGGTTATGTGGGGTCACCTTTTCTGGAGACCTAATTGCAAGGACATGACAGCACAGAGAGCTGATTGAAGGGAGATGACACGAGATGCTCAAAGAGATGTTGGTCTCTTCAAACTTCCTTTATTTTTATCTGTACTAACGTAAGAACAGAGGAGCTTCCTGGGCTTCTGTCCATTCAGGAAGTGGTATATCTTTTATACTGTTCATAACATTGGCACTCTTTTGTCAGTGTGGCAAGGAGGCCCACATTCTGCTAGCAGCTCATGAAGCTTTGCTGTTTGGAGGTGGAGAAGTGATTGGGTAAAACTCTTAGCTAAACCAAGCTGAGGTTTGGGAGTGAGATTCTCCCTTGTGTAGCAGTCTTGTGTCTCAGTGCATGCTGGAAAGCCTGCTTTTCACATGGGTTTTCACATTCAGGTCTCTGTCCCATGGTGGTAAATGCATCAAACGTCTCCATCAGCAAATCTGCAGCCTTCTAACATTGCTCTGTCGTAGTGGAGAAATGTGTTACAGCAACTAGTTTAATTAAAACATAGTTTGTACGTGTGTGAGGGACAGTGCATTCACAGACTGACAACACCGAAGAATAAGATGGAGCTTGAAGCTTAGGGAAGGGAACAGTACACTGAGGAAACAGAAGATTGTTTTAACAGTTACAGCCACTGGGTGGTAGAGTCTGCTACCAAGAGATGTGGTCAAGAAGACACTGCTGCAAAGAGCCAATATGGCTTAAGTAGAGCAGTAATGGGGCTTACACAGCAAGATCCTGGAGGATTTTGCTACCTACACAGATCCTGGAGGTCAGTTAAACCCTAATGATCCCTCCCAGCCCCACCTTCAAGATATCTTCAAAAGCAAAGCAGAAAGTATGGTTAGAAAGAGCAAACAGGGTCAAAGTTAATTAGACTGACGCAGAACAGGTAGCACCCAAAACCATTCTGGGATCAATATTTCCATTCATTTACAAGCAGAACAAGATCAGAGAGGTGAGCAGACTAAATAATTAACATCTTTACAGATTAAAATAAAAAAAAAAAAGAAACATTTTAATCTTCGGGCAATTAGCTATGCAGTTGACATTAATCACACGTGCAGCAATTAATTCAAGTATGTGACTCATCAGTCCAGAGGAAAAACTGAGCTGGGCCCAACTGCCCTTGCTGCACAGCCCTGCTGGTCTCTCAGTCAATGCGCTGGTGTTGGCTTTCAGAAATGCAGCGCATTTCCTGCCGGCTGTAACGTAATGCATTCCCTGGCTGGCTGGATACAAGATACTTGTACTTCAGATGGGGTAGATGCAAACTATGATGTTTCCAAAGTGAAAGGAAGGGCTTGCTGAACTGTGATTTTCATCTCTTGTGGCCCCCGGGCAACTAAACGACAATACAATCACATGCTTGCACTGATCTGATTGCGCCTGAAAAATACCACTGCATTACTGCGCTGGTCAGACTGCAGGGGCAGAGGGCTGGAACTGCTAACTCCATCATTCCCATCTATAATTGGGAAAAAAAACTTCAATTAAGGAAAACAATGAATCTAGAAGATGGTCTGAGCACTGATACCGAAAGTTCAGGTTAAAAAACTGAGGTGTATTTATTATTTCTTGGCTATTTCTCCTTTTAGTAACTACATCAGGGTGAAATTCCAGTTGACAACTCCTAACACTGGTAGCAGTGATCTTCAGTTTTGGTCTAAGAAGTTTGTGGATTCTTGGAAAGCTATCCAAGTAGATTTCAGCACCTTTCTGAGGATGCTCGCACCCACCAGCCCACAGCTCATACCGTGCTGTATTAAAGTCATTTCATCTGGTCTTACTCTGGATTAGGCTGCTGCTTTCAAAAATGCAAATGTTAACTCCCAGAACAAACTTGGCTTGATGATGTTAAGCTTATCTGTAAACTGAAATGCAGCAGACTTTCATTACAAGAACTCAAACATTTAAAAGGCACATTTAATGTGGCACATCTTAAAAAACAAATATTGGAACATCCAACTTGTTCACTGAGTGTTTCCCCCCCCCACCTATCTATCATTTTCACTGCTGCATATAAATGAGACTAACGTTCCTCTAACACAAAAGCCAGAACCAATGAAATATCTGTGGAGTGCCATGGTTGTTGTAGGAAGCCAATCTGTCTCACGGTCACAGTAGTGCAAAGTTCTGAAGCAGGTTGGTCAGTTTTAGCCCTCTCTCTTTAGCACAACCCATGTGAAAAGCAGGCTTTCCAGCATGCACTAAGACACAAGACTGCTACACAAAGGAGAATCTCACTCCCAAACCTCTGCTAGAGACCACACTGCTCATGCAAAGGCAGGAATGTCCTACTCAGGTGAAGAACACCCTGCAGGAAGAGACAGCATCCAGGATACGCCAGCAGATGCACGCTTTTGGTAACACCAACCACTCCAAATTTTGAGTCTGCTCTTCAAGCAGCATATTTCTTACATCTGGCATGCAAAATCCTGTAATAGTGAAGAACGTCCCATTTTAATTTAAATGAATGCATTTATTTTCAAATGGGAAACCATAAGTTAAACAAACACATTTCTCTTTGCACATGAAAGCATTGTTTTGTCACAGATGTACAGTATAATACATTTATTTTCTCGATTGTTTTGTATTTGTAAGGCACTGCCAGTTATTTGGATGGGTTTGTAAGGATGAAGCAAATTGCTCTGTGGGGCTCTATTCAGGGAACATAATATTCCCACAAAAGCACCATAATTCTGCATGCAGCAACACAGACTACCACGACATCACAGCAGCTGGCAGGGTGGATAGAGTTAGCATTATCAAAACCAGCATGACAACTGTACTCCGAAAGCCCCTTACATGCATAAATTAATGATGAATGTACACTGATTAACCCCCACCCAGGCTCGAGGTAACCCTGCCTTCCCTGAAATAAAACTTTGAACCTCACCAGTTGTTTTGTTCAGTTCACAAGGCCTGGGGAGCACTTCAACTTCTTCTTGAGTCACTGCCTTGGCCTGGTCCAGGACTCTTAGCCCTGCTTTCCCACATATGCTGGGGAAGAGGAAGAAAGGTGCTTGAACCCCTAAACCACGGGGAACAGTCAAGAACACAGAACAGAGTCAGCAGTGTGCCAGGCATTGCACTTTGTCCACCACACAGAGCTGGGAGGGAGAAGGTCCTGTCAGGGATCACATCTCTGTTTCAGAAGTTAGCTGTAGATTCACTTCTATCCACTCCTTTGATCAAGTGTCTCCTTCTCCAGGCACAGAGCGTGGCTTCACAAACACTTCACATGATAGTGTTTCCACAGCTACTCCACCAGTAGGCAGATGCAGTGAAGGTGTTGAGAGGTAACTGCTCGTTTTGTCCTTTTCATAGGTTCTCCAGCCCACAGTGAGTTTAAATCACGCCCTCTAGTCATCACAACTTTCCTAAAATCTATTCTCTTGCATAAATTCTGGGTTATCTTAACCACCCTTTGCTGCCTCAAGGTTCTCAGGCTTCTTTATCCATTTGCCAGCCTCCCAAACAGCTTCTACCACCCAGTTCCTGCATGGCACAGCCTCATGAAAGTTGGCCACAAAGGTCTTCCTATTATCTTTAAGTCTTCTGGTTACATAGAAATGTGAAGGAAAAAAACAATTGTAAGAAGATGTTCTTTCTAACCCAAGATATCTAACTCGGGTTGAAGCAGGAATGAAGACAAAATAACACATTCTATGATTTTATGATTCTATGAAATGAAAAAACACATAGCTGCTTGAGTACAAGCCTGTCTTGAAGGCTCAAGGACGGTGTAATACAGTAATTCACGTTTTAAGTCAGCTTGTCTTTTGTAAAATTGAATCTGAATGCTTTGCCTTTAGCATATCTAGGTAGTTAGGTTCACACTGAGTGTGTAATGCAGTAATGAAGATGTATAGATAGGCTGAATATCTAGAACTGAAAGGATGATAGGAAAGCCTCCTGTTTGACTTCAAGCTCTCTAAAACATTCCTGCAGCTTCCCATAAGTTGATCTGACCTTTTACCGAGAGAATATCCTAATTTAGCAACTAGCTTCTGTGGGTCACCTAAGCCATGCATCTAAACTGCCTCAGCCAGGCTTCATTCTCTGTATTAATGACTCCTCTGTGCATAGGAATGTGCTTTAGGGTGCTGCTTCTGTTGTCATATATAAGCTCAGTTTGAGCAACACCACTGCAGTCTTGTTTATATGAGCAGGTGCACTGAAATTGAACAAGAGAAAAAATCTGTATCAGCAGTAATACCAAGAGAGCAGCAGTGGAGAGGGAAGGAGAGTAGAGGGGGGCCTTAAAGAAACAATCACCACTCACGTTGCACACATCATCTGCTACAGACACAGACTTTCTATGAAGCAGTAAGCAAACCACAGCTGTCAGTGCCCATGCTGGGCGTCAGCATAAGGCAGATCTCTAGCGGAGGCCCCTGCAGCAAGGGAGCAAACCGCTCAGCGGGAGACTATTTACTCAGGAAGACTCTTCTGAGAGTGGACCAAG